AAACGAAGGGGAAATGGTCTCCGTTAAGGCGCGGAAAAAAGTGCGCCTGGGCTGGACTTCTTCGGAAGGGGGAGGCAGTTTTCGAGGAGAGGGGCAAGAGGGGGAGGCGTTGAAGCCCCTCAAAGGCACCCAGGTTGGCAAGCGAGCGGGGGAACCCTTCGCCGAGAAAGGGTCCCCGCGGTTTCGCCATCGCCGCCTGGGGGAAGCCCCGGTCGCTGTCACGACGCCTGCAGTGTGCCGGGCCTGTTGCTACCCTTGGCCCCGCGCTTGCAGCAGTGCCACGGTGGTTTCCCTCGCCAGAATTTGGCGGTGGGGGATGGGGGGGGGGATCGGGCTCCCTTGGGGGGGGGGGGGGGGGGGGCACGAGCAGAGAGGAGAGAGAGAGAGAGAGAGCTGCTAGAGGAGTGAGAGGTGCACATGCAGCTGTGAGAGCGAGTGCCTGCTCCGACCCAGAGGCGACCTCGCTGCGGAGGAGGTCGCCGGCGGAGAGGTGGGTCGCGTCAAAGTGCTCCACCAGCCGCGCGCATTGCGTCCCTTTCCCGGAGCCCGGCCCGCCCATGATGAAATAGACTGCATTCTCGCCGGCCCGCTCGCCTACAACGGTGTAGGCACTGGCGAGTGAAGCCGCGTGGTTGCTTCTTGTGGCACTTGCCACCCACAGGCGCCATGCGTTGTGTGAGGCTTTCGGTGGAGACAGGCGCGCGGCTGGCGATTGGGTGGTACGGGCCGATGGACACATATGTGCATGCATGTCTCGAGCACGCCTCTCTGGCTGCTGCCGGCCGGCACGTGCTGCGTCGCTGCAAGCGCCATTCGCGCACGTTGCTGCCGCAGACGAGAGGCGCTGCCACCCGACGAGACCACGAGCGCCTGCGCAAGCGTGGCCGACAGCAGGACGGAAGGCCAGAGCAGGAAGCGCGCCATATACACACACATGGTGTCAAAAGAAACGATCCGCACTTGCGCGCACTCGAGGGGCCAGGATATGCAGCAAGGAGGGCGGAGCTGCGCCGAAAGGCGAAAGAAGCCGAGAGAACAAGGGAACGGCAGGCGGCGGCGGCGGCGCAGAACGAGGCAGAGGAGAGCGACGCGACAGAGGAAGAAGCGACAAGGGAGAGCACGACGAGAAGGGGGCGACCGCGAGGTGGCACGAAGGTTGAAGCGAGAATCGGAGAGAGACTGCGAAGAGAGATAGGAAGAGGCGGACGCCCAAGGGTGGGCGACGGCTAGCGCACCACACCCCTCTCCTTAAAATCCCTCCCTGTGTGGTGGCGGCGTGCCGTCCTCCCATCCCTCCCTTGGGTTGTCCTTTTCTTTCTTTCTTTTTGGGCGGGCGACGGCTTGCGACACACCTTCTGTCCCGTGAAATCCCTGTGTGTGTGGTGGCGGCGTGGAGCGAGGACCGAGGTGCCGCCTCCCATCCTGCTGGCATGTTTTCTTCTTTCGGTGAGCCGGTGGGTGTGCCAGTCCGCGCCAGTCCGCGCCCTTGTCGTGCCAGCGTGCTGTGAGAGAGGCTTGTGTTTTAACAATTCTTCTTTCTTTGGACATCCTTTGGGAGAGAGAGATTTTAGGAGACCAACAAGAAATCACGACTCTCACAGTGATTTGGGCTCCGCAGCTTGTTAGCCCTCAGCCGAAGCTGGGGCCGGTCCCGTAGCCGAGAGAGCCCGCGCCCATGAGTTTGACGCGGTCGGGGGGGCCTGCGGAGAGGCCAGCGAGGTGGCGATCGCTGTACTTCATGGTGCCCTCGGTGGGGCGGCTGACAAGCCAGAGGTCGATACTCTGGACGACCCATAGGATGCCAACGAATGCCTGAAGGAGAGGGAGGCGAGGCCAGAGGCAGGCTCAGCTGCTCTCGGGTGATCTCGCTTTGGTGGCTGAAGGACCCGATGGTCCTGTCACATTCGCGTTCCGAGTCGTGGGGGTAGAAGAATTCGAGGTAGAATCGAGTCAGCACATCCTTGTAGTACAGAGGACCGCCAGGCTCGCCGGCAGCATCCGCAGGGAGGCAGCATATGAGGCACCAGTCTTCTGGAGAGCTCAACAGCTGCGGCCGCGATGGCGGAGTCGGCCGCGGTTCGAGCGAGCAGCTTTTGGCTGCGGGATCGAATCGCGGAAGGCTCATGCCCTCGCGGAGCGACGGGCGGGTCGCGCGGCGCGCGCGTGTGCGAAATGCGACAACAGACGACAGATGCCAGACGCCTGAGCGCTGTACGACTGAACTTTTGTTGCCGCAATCGCCACCGCCGCCATCTTGGACGAGCAGTGCGAGCGCGCTCGACGGCGGCCAGCCGTCGCGGGCCGGGCCGAGCCCGGCCTCAACCGGCCGCGCCGCCGTAGCAGGCCCGGAGGCCCACATGGCGGCCGACCAGCTGATAATCCTTTGGCCGCGTTGGGTAGCGAGGATGTGTTAAGCGGCGATGTCGGGTGAGAGTGTGTGTGCGTCGTGTTCGCGTCTCCGTCTGGTGTCTAATTAGCTCCGAGTGTAGAGGGGGCGTTCCGCCGCTAGCGGCTAGGGGAACGACCCAAAGCGTAGAGCCAACGACCCTCGGAGACCCGTGTTTACTCTCTATGGCCCCTTCCCTGCGAACGCGCACCCCCCTAGGGCCAGGGCTTTCTTGCTCGTAGCCCGATCCCAATCGTCCGGCCCGCTGCGGTCTAGCGTCTAGGCTCAAGGCTGCGGTGCGCTTCTTAGCCTCCCCGGCCCCCTGGGCGTGCGGCAACTACTCGCTCGAGTGGTCCTCCTCGAAACGAGGCTCGAGGCGGGAGCGAGAGCCACGGGCCCAGACCTGTTCTTTCACACCTCACCTCGAGGGTCGGCGGGCCCTCCCGGCGGGGCGACGCCGACGCGGGGGTCCGCCGTCCGCAGGGGGGGGGGGGTGCTCCTCTCCACACGCGGCGGACACACAGGGGCTAGGCATTGGTCCCCGGTAATGAAGTGTTGTGGGAGGTATGTTGCTAGCGACTCGGGCCCTTTCCTGGTGGTTGCCATGGCGTTATTCGCTCCCGCCTCTCCTTGGCGGCGGCCCGCCGCCGCTGGCTATGCAGGTCGTGGATAGCTTGTGCCCCCGCGACGATCGCGTCCGCCTTTGCCCGCGCCGTTCGGTTTACCGGCTCCCGCCACCACGCAAGTTTGGTCAGGGCCCTCCGGTGCGCGTCTTTGTTTTCTTGGCACCGGAACCGATCGGTCAGCATCCTCGCAATCTCCGGCACGTGCGTTGACAGCTGCGCGAGATCACCCGAGCCTGTGGCTCCGGACCTGAAGGGAGTCTCGTCAATGTAGCCTCCCAGCAAAGGAAGGAGCGACGGGTCATCTTTCGTCATCTTTCGTAACCGCCCGGTGATTGCGTCGACCAACTGCTGCGGCCAGCGCAGCAGCTCCGCCGTCGCGCTGCGCGCGGGACGCACCACCGCCGTCGCGGAGGCGAGGAAGCTCTCGGGACAGGGGACCGCGAGGAAGGCGCAGAGCGCTCGCAGGTGCACGCGAGGCTCTCTTGTGAAGAGCTCGGTCCTCAGGTCGAGCCAGCCAACATCCGCCTGCGCGAGGCTGGCCGGCGCGGCGGCGGCGCCTGCGGATGCGCCTGCACGGGCGCACGCGCATGCGAGGCCACTCGACCCCTCCACCGAACAGGTGCAGCCATGCTCGGCGACCTTGGCGCGCAGCCGCAGGATCTTGGCGAGCAGCGAGAGTCTGGACCACGCCTTTGTGCTAAGGTAGGCGAGCTCGCACACGGTGAGCGCGTGCCACGATTGGTCGGTGGGTGGGGCGGCACCGCCCGCGGGGCGCAGGTCCGCACTCGACCGTTCCACCAGCCAGCGCGTCGCCTGCTTGCGGACCGAGGCGTGAATAGACGCTCTTCACCGCCCACGACAAACTCTCTAGCAAGCGAACGCCATCATATCGAACGGGTTGCGCAACACGTGCAACAGCCGGAGGGGCAGCTGCAGCCCCGCCGCCATATCAAGCAGCAGAGAGATCTGCAGCAGCAAGTGTGTGGGGTGAAGGTGATGTATCCATGTGCACAGCCGAGCAGCAGCTTCTAGCAGCTTACTGCGGCGTGCGTGCGTGTGTGTGCGTGCAAGTACCTGCGCGGTGCCGTTGAGGGCCATGAGGTCCTCAGCTGTCTGGCCGCCCTTCTTGTCGCCGATGGCCAGTAGACCGCGGCCCTCGCACACCCCTTGGTCGTCAGTCTGGCTCGCAGCGCACCAGCGGCCCTGCCATGGGAGCGCGCCGCCGAACGAGTAGTTGAAGCCCGACTGCATACGCCCGTAGACGGCGCACGTGACCGAGTTGCGCACAAGTGAGGTGAAGAGAGCCGTCCGCCTTGAGGCGCCCTCCCCGGACGTCAGCTGACGTCCTGTACTCGCTGCGCGTAGCGACCTGTACTCGCGCAGCGAACCGTGCTCGTGCGCCATGACGATGTTGGGGTGCGCATCGAGCAGAGCGCCCACCAAAGTGTGGCCAGAGCTGGAGTAGCCGACGAACATGGAGAAAGTGCGTAGCTGAGCAAACGTAGCTGAATCCAGGTGGGACGACCGATCGGCCACCGCATCGCGCTGGCCAGAGGTGAGAGTGTGCTGCAGGCAGTCTCCGCCCGCCTGCGAATCAGCCAGCGACAGGGGCTTGCGCTCGAAGCCCGCGCGGAGCAGGTGCTCGGCGTGCTCATAGTCGCTGCTTAGGGACGCTCGCTTGGCCGGCAGGGCTAAAGTCACGCACGCCGTCGTGAGGCGAAGCCCAATCCAGCCGCGGCCCCGATTCATCGAGACGCACTGACGCACAAAAACAACGACGGAGCGTCACTTCGAGGGCGGTGCAAGGCGGGGCGGATTTTAGCCCGCGAAACGTAAAAGTCGCGTGGAAGCAATTGTCTTGGATTCCGGCTCCTTGCTGGATAGGGGCGTTGCCGATACTACCTATCCCCAGAAACGCAGCGACGCGAAAATGGCGAAAATAGGCGAAGGCGAGGGCCCAACTTCAGAGAATCGTGCTTTTTGGGTGGAGGTTGGGTGTGTTGGGTTGGGTTGTGTGGGTGAGGTTGTTCCGAGTGAGGTTAGGTCGTCGGCGCGAAGGGTGAGGTCTCGACCGCCGCCGCTCACGCCAGCGTACGGCCAACATCGGTGTTTTGGCTTCGCCACCGTCCAAGGCGTGCGCCATGCGCTCGCCGACATCGACGAGGGAGCACGCTGTCCGGACGAGCGGCTTGCTGTGCGGACGCCTTCTTGTGGCTCTCGTCGAGAGCGTTTTGCGGCCCGGCGGGTGGGAGAGCATGTGTCGTTATGATGTGTCACTGTGTGCGTCACATCGATGTGGATAACAAGCTACAAGCACGGTCGATCCGTCAAAGCGATACACTCGTTCCTATCACGTTGGAGGTTGGATGGCTTACACGGAGCTTCTGTGCCGGCACACAGGATCAGGAAGAGCGGCCGTGCGGCAAGAAGAGCTCGATGGGGAGCGAGAACCGTCAGATTTTCAGGTGCAACCTGAAGTCCGTCCCAAGCGCGCTCAATCCCTCCCAAGCGAAAGCCTGTGGCTCTCTCGAACTCGTCGATACTCGCAAATGTGTCTTGTGTGTGGGAATAAACCATAAAAGTAGCTTTGAATACGCCCACGAAAGGCCGCTTGGTGAGTGGTTGGGGTGGCCTCAGACATCCCCAAGGGAGCCTCTGCGGTGCCCCATAAGCAGCTTAGTGATTGTTGAGACTTTAAACGATTCGTTTGAAGAAACGCAAACAAGCCAGACACTACTATGGTCACCAGTAAACCATAATTCGACTTTGAGGGATCATATCTCAAAAAGCCGGGAGATAGCATCGCATTATTGTTGCATATTATGCCACATAAGGTCAGACTTGATCCCACAAGCATCAAGAACCCGATGCTCCGGCTCGACTGTGCCGGCACACTGCCTCCTCGCGCCTGCTGCTAGCAGCCGTCGCGGCCCGTGGTGCACCAGAGAGAGAGGTCGACACGTTGCCCCCGCCGGCGAGTCCGCGCGGCTCAAAGGCCGGCCAGAAGGTGTGTGGTGACGGCACCGTGGCAGGAGTGCGGAGAAGAGCTCGCCGAACGCGAGCAGCAGATGGCCAAAGTGTGCCAGCGCGAGAGCCTCGCGAGCGGGCGCAGAAGGAGCTCGCCGTGACACGATGCCGGGCGGTGGTGGTGCTCTGGCGACTGTGCACAGTGGGCAAGGTCAGGCTGCAGCAGGGCAGCACGATGGTAGTGCCCTGCTGCAGCCTGGCCTGACATGCACAGGGCGAACAGAGGCGGTACTATCGTCCGCTCGTCGTCGAATCTGGTCGCCCTGGTGCTGCCCTGGCCTTCTGTCTGCCCGCTCAATGGGTGGCAGGTGCCTCTGCTGCTGTGGCATGCCTCACGGCTGCGGCTGGCCGGCGCCTCGGCGCGTCAGCTCGGCTCGGCGTAGTGATAGTGGCCAGCGCAACTCGCCTGGACTCAACGCTCAGCCAGGAGCTCCCGCACGCGCTGGCGCGAGTCATGGCGCATGCAACGCGCAGCAATGCTCGCCTCGCCTCGCGCAAATGCGACCGTCCTCGCAGCCGACAGTCCACCGCCTGCTAAAGAAGCACAGCGACGAAAGCGGCACCGGCGACACATGGCAGGCTGCTGGTCATGACGCAGTCATAGGGTGTTGTGTGCCGTCAGAGTGACTCTCTGTGTGTGTCAGGGATAGTCAGGGCTGTCCATCAGAGCTCCAGTAAGCTCGGAGACACCCCATTAGCGCGGCTCGACTTCTTTGAGTCACTGCCTTCCCGGCGGTTTGGCTGTAGAGCCTCTACAACAAACTCTACAGCAAAATCGCGCTCTACATCGCTCTACAACGGAGGCGCTTCGTCCCGCGGCGGATGTAGAGCTCTACAGCTCTACAGCGCTCCAGAGCGCTCTACATCTCTACAGCTCTACAGCGCTCTACACTCTACATCCTCTACACCCTCCCTCAGCGCCAACCCAACAAAAAGCACGTTTGGGTTCTCAAACGCGGGATTTCGTTTTCTTTCCCAGCCTCCAACAACGCCTCCCCGGCGCAGAGGGGCCCCCGGAGGGATGCACAACCGCCTCACGCCACGCCGCTTGCGGCGGTCCTATTCGCAGCTGGAGCACTTGGAGCACTTGCATCGGAGTACTCGAGTACGGAGGATTCCTATTTTTTGTATTTGCGTGCTCCCAAAGCCCTCATCACGAAGGAGTACGAGCGTCGAGCGCACGTCGCCGCCTGCCGACGGCGGCGGCGGCGGAGGAGAAGGCGCCGTCGGCAGAGGCGCCACAGATATGGCGCCAGTCGCAGCCGGCGGCGTGAAGCTCGCGGTGAGGTTGAGCGGTCGCAGAACGCGTTGCGGGCTTGGGGATGCGGCCTTGCTCGACGGTGGCTGCTCAGGCGACTGCAGCTGCTCGTTCTCCGACGCCGGCGCCCCCGCCGGCGACGGGCAGCACCCGTGCGGGCAGCTCTTGAGCTTCTTGCGCCCGTGATTGTGAATCAACGAGCAAGAAGAGACGGCCGTCTCGTCGAACATGGGATCAAGCATGGGATTGACACTCATGCGAGTCCAATCGAGCCAACGTGGCAGTCCAGCCTAATAAATAAATAAATACAACGGACATCCCAAGCTAGGGCTGGGTCGAGGACAGACACGTCCCCACCTTTGCAGGATTTTGCAAAAGCGAGGGGGGAGGGCGCATCGCCGCGCGGAGAGGGCTGGGCAGTCCAGCCTGCTGTGCACCTCTGTGGCCGAGAAAAATCTTTTTATTTGAAGAGAGAAAAGGATGAGCCGGGCCGCCGCGGCCGGCGCGCGCGCGCCAGCGCAATGCCTGGGTGTCCCAAAAAAGAAGAAATGGGCGAGATCCCGCGAGCAATTTGTCGCTCGCAGATCACAGACGCTTCCCTGGAAGAGCTCGGTCGCCGAGAGATGCTGTCGCTGCCGCAGTCGTCCTTTGCCCTCTCCGCGCCGGTCTCGGCGATGCGTGGCGTCGTCCGCAGCGGCCTCGCCCCGCGCATGGGCGTTGAGACCATGTGAGCGCGAGTGCCAGCGCGAGCGCCAGGCTGCGCCTTTCTCCGCTGCACTCTGCATCTCCTCATCAAATAGGGAGGGCGTGGGGCCCGAGACGGGCAACAAGGTGTTTGACCCGGTCGGCTTCGCGACGCTGGGCGGCGACGAGACGCTCGCCTTCTTCAGGCACGCAGAGATCAAGCACGGCCGCGTGGCGATGGTGCGCACTCTCGCTCGCCATGAGGACACTGGCTGCGGGTCGCCGAGCAGAGCGGTCGTAACGCCCCGCGCAGGCGGCGATGGTGGGCTTTCTCTTTCACATCAACCACATTCACTTCCCCGGCTACCTCTCGCCCACCGCCGGCGTCACATTTGAGCAGCTGTCTGCCGTCGGCCCCTTCGAGGCGCGCCCCCGCCGCCCTCACCTCCGCCGCCGAGCCCGTCACCGCCGAGGATGCCTCCACTCGCCGACCCCCCCCCCCACCCCCCCCCCCACCCTCCTCTTCCCCCCCCGCCTCCGCCGCCGCCGCCGCCTCCGCCGCCGCCGCCGCCACTTCCGCCACGGCTCCGCCGCCGCCGCACAGTCCCGCCATCTTGGCCGCGGCCCCTCCCACCGTCGCCCGTCGCCCGGTGCGTCAGGCGTGGAACAGGATCCCGCTGTTGGGCCAATGGAAAATCTTTTGGACCATCCCCGGACTCGAGCACGGGTCCGAGTGCCTCGATCCGGCCGGCCCCTACACAAAGGGGGGCCCCCCGGGGAACCCCAAGTTTCTCAAAAACTTTTGGGACCCCCCGGGCTTCCCCAAAAAGCTGATTGAGGCCCAAAAGGGGGAGAAGCTCTTTTCCAACCTAAAAAATGGCCGGTGGGCGCGGGACCCCCCCCCCCCCCCCCGCCGTCCTCCCTCACACCCGACCCCCCCCCCTCCCCCCCCGCCCGCCGTCCTCCCTCACACCACCCTGACCCCTCCCACCCTCCCATCATCCGTGCCTCAACAGCCTCGCCATGATTGGCATCGCCTCCGTCTGTGCGGCGACCGCCGTGCCCGGCTCCGTCCCCCTCCTCGCGAATGCGCCTGCTCTGACCGGCCCTGGCTTCGCGCTGCCCTTCGGGACGTTCTGAGTGCCGAAGGGAGGCGCGAAGCTGAGTGAGACGTGCTGAGGCCAGTCGGTGCTGAGGCCAGTCGGGGCAGGCGAGCGGCCGCAGCTGTGCGTGGTTGGCTCTACTGTGTATGAGCTCTCTGTGCCCGAGACATGAGAGTGCGCCCGCCCGTCCGTTTCCCTCCCCCATTGTGACTTGTAGGTGGTGCACCTGCTGCTGCTCTGCAGAGTTTTAGCTTTTTATACGGTTTGGTTTTTACTGAACACTTTCACACATGTTCTCGCTCCACAGGAACGCTCTATGATCTCTCAACTCGGTGCCGACACGCGGGCTGCGAGATACTTGCACCGGCCACAGTCCAGCAGCGCCCTGGGTGGCGCGCAGGCGCACACGAGACACCAGACACGTCCGGGCGCGGCCACGGGTTGTTTTTGCCGACATTTGGCGATTCCGCGGCTTACTGGGCCCCTGAGCCGCTCCCCGTGTGCTTGTGGCCCAGGCATGATACTGATAGTAAACGGGTCAGAACCGGCCAAACACAGGCTACAGCCCCACACACGCGCCCGCCATAGCTCCTGGAGAGCATGCGCGAGTGACGCGCTACACAAGCCGCGAGAGTGGCATCAGAGGCAGGAACGACGTGCTCTTGCTGCACCTCGCAGCTGCACCGAGTGTGCTCGCAGTGTATGCTACGGCCGCCGCCTACAGCATTGCTCTCGTGCAGCTAGGCGACGCAGGTCCATCAGCAGGGCTCATCCAATGCGACATGCGAGCGCACATTGTGCGTAGCCGCGGGCAGGTGGCAGTGCACAGCCGCACACCGGCTGTGGCGGCTCGAATGCCCCCGGCAGCAATGCTGGTCATTAACTTGCGTATTGGGGCCGCAGCAGACTGCTGCTGTGGCAGCAGCAGCAGCCTGCTGCTGCCTGATTCAGTCAAGCCAGCGGTGCAGCGAGGCGTGCAGAATTCGCGCGGTTTGGTACCTTCTGAGGCTGAGCGCGTTCAGTACCGGTGACCGGAGTTGGATGGTTCGATGGAGCTCGCCGAGCTCCATCGAACCATCCATGGCCGGACGGCGGAGCGTGAGGTGGCGAGCGGAGAGGTGTACCGCAAAACACGGATCTCACGGATGTCAGTGCCCAAATGCGCCCGCCGTTTTTCGTCATACCCCCCCCCCCGAAAACCGCCGACTTTGACCGGGTCCGGTTCTACCTCACTCTCATCTCTATACTTTCAGATAAACGTCAGATCTGTGCCACCCTGCTCCCTGGGCTGGACCTAGTCCGCACCGCGCACGGGCCACAGCGGCTAGTGCCATTTCACTGTGGCACAGCTCGCGTTACAAAACTTTGATTATGACCATTTGCGCCATTTGGTACCTCTCGGTGCCTTCCAGAGGCAGCTACGACCCCGCCGAGTGGACGGGGGCACTCGGCAGGTGGCGCGGAGTGCCCCCGTCCACTTGGCGGGGTCGCAGCTGCCTCTGCGCGTCCTGGGGAGGTACCGAATTGTCGCCGCCGGAGACGAATCGACGCCGCTGAGATCGGAGATCAAGCTCTGACAGGTCGCACGTCGCTCCTTTGACGCCGACGTGACTCACCCGTGCAGATCACATCAGGACACGGTTTCGACGCGCTCGGTACGACGCCTGCGACCCGTCTCGGGTCAGGTGGCATGACGCTCATCTCGCCCGCCAGCGCTGCCTTGCAGGTTGCCACGACGAGGTCGAGCACGCTTCTATACGCTCGCCGAGCCTTCCTTTCCATCCCATTAGGTAGCCTGGGAACGGTGGCGGTCAGAGGCAAAGCCTACGAGGGGTGGTGGAACCACATGTCACGGCTACTGGTACTGCCGGCTCGACCCCGCGATAGCCTCCGAAGGCTGACTTTGCGGCACCATCATCGGACGGTGTCGACGAGTTGGGTCGCTCTCGCGGTAGCCAGATGACCGCTCATACTAGTAGTATCGGCCATGGCCGCAGGGAGCGCGGGGGAGGGCGCTGGAAGCAACACGGAGCTCCGTTGGAGGCGTTTTCAAGATTAGCGTGATGACTGATGTCAGAGTGAAATGGCACCTGCCAGCGCGGTCTGTGGTCTCTCTTACGGTTCTACGCAAACTGAAAAACAAAAAACGAATCGTCGCTTAGAGGCTGTGCGACAGGCTGTGGTACAAAAGGCTTCGTCCGACCGTACCGCCCGGGCGCGCGCACAACCACACCAGCGCGCCCCCCTGTCGGCACAGCCGGGACCCGGCACCATTTGCCCGCGAGCCCGCCCTCCGGTATGCGGTAGTCACCGGCGTTCTCTCCCGGCGGCCCCCTCCCCCCGCCCACCCCCACCCCCCACCCCCCACGTTCCAGCCTGTGCAACTGCACCCTCGCCCAACACTATTCCCGGCGCTACCAATCGCTGTCTGCCCAAGAAGTGTCTGGCTTGGGTGCGGCGGGGGCAGCAAGCGCAGCGGGCGGCGACGCCGCGCTGGGGCCAAGAGCGGCCTCAAGCTCCGCCTCGAGATCCTATTCACGGCCGTCTCTGTGAATCGACCCCGAACCAGCCTTCGCAACGCCGCGTGGCCGCGCTGCGCGGCGCCGCGTCGTCGATCTCTCCTTGCTCCGCCACATCCGGCGCGCTGGGTGGGAGCGGCTCCGCTGTCTGCTCCGACGGCGCTGGGGTGGACGAGGCGGGGCGGGGCGAGTCCGGCCCCCAATCGTCGTCGCCCCAGCCAGAGTCCGCGCCCCAGCTGGCGGCATGAGCCTCCTCCGCCGCGACGGCAAGAGCCGACGAGCCTCCTCTCTCGGCCGCTGCGGAGCTCCTCACCGCGGGGGGCGCCTCGGCGGCGACACGAGGCTCGTCGCCCCACCCGTCGTCCCACCCTGAGTCCCGCCACCCCTCCTCCTCCTCCTCCTCCGCCGCCGCCGCCGCCCGGGCCCCCGCACTCCCCTCTCTTTCACCCCTCTCCTCCTCCCCTCCCCCCCCCCCCC